AAAAAAAAAAAAAGGAAAAAAAGAAATGCCTCAAAGCCTGTGAGATGCCTGTTCCCTCCACCCACTGAGATCTGCAGTACCCCCTCCCGCAGTTCCTGGGAACCTCTGCTCAGAAACCGCCTTCTAAGAGGCGCCTTGAGCAGCCACTTTTCTGAAAATTGCAACCTCCTCAGACTCGCAGTGTTTGGAGCCTCCTTTCCCGCTGTGTTTTTTCTATCTTCTTTATTTTATTGTTTGACTTCTTCCCCTAGAACCAAACCCCACACAAGGGCAAAATCAAGCTCTCAAGTCTTTTGTTTGCTGCTATATCCCTGAGAGCTAGACCTGCGCATGACGCACAGTAGGCACTCAATAAAAGAACTGTTGAACAAACAAACACGTGCAAGGAGGTCAGAGCAATCCCTCCTCCCTCCCTGGAATCCAGGCTCACCTGCTCACAAATAGCTCCTGTCATCGTGACTGGGAAGGGTCTGACATTCCCTCGGCCCAAGTTTTCCCGTTTCCTCTGGTTGCTGAAGAGCTTTAGCTCCCTCTTCTCTTCCTCATCCAGGGAGTTGCAATATCGAACCTGAACAGACACAGAGAGCGGCAGAGTGGATGTCGCCCTTGCTCCATGGGATTTCTGAGGCCCATGCCCTGGAGTTTTCTTCGGTAAACACGCTCCCATTCCGTTGTACTGCTCTGGTCTGCACCAGCAGGCTCGGGGCTGTTTAAAGGGAGTCTCTACCTAAGATGGCGGACAGCCAACACAGCTTACGAGAGGCGCCAAACTCCGGAGCCCACGTCATAAGCAGGCTAAAGGTTCTGGAACTGTTCCTCATCCCTACCGCCCTGCTCTAAGCCACACTAAGGTTCACATCATGCGGGATAATTCTGGTGCTGGTCAAAATCGGGGATGTTTTCCTTCTTTAAAAATGAGGTGGCTCTTCAAATGGATGGCAGGGTCCAGATATGTTCACCTCCACGTGCCCACGTGAGTGATCCTTGACACCAATGGATGGCTCCATGCTAGCAAGCCAGAGCAGCTCTCAACTTCTGTTCTCCCATCTTATTTTGCCCAAATGGACAACCAAAGCCTTGAGGCTAAGGAGTTGGACCAGAGGTATGGTTGCTGCTTCATGGGAGTCCCTGCATGTTTATCCGTGTACAGGAGGGGAAAGGGTTGCCCACTGGGCTATCGCTAATACATCAACTTGCATAAGATATTTTCCTTCTCATTAAATACAAAAACTCGGAGAAGTAGGCAAGGGACACTCGGAGACACTCAAATCCAGCACTCCCCAGGCTCTCCCCTTACGAACTCACACAACGGGAATTCTGCCGTAGTCCTGAACTATTATTTACTTAATGCTGTTTTTAAAACGGACTCACTTTTTAAAAACTTGAATACATTTAAAAAATGACAGTATATTATGACTATAAGTCGCAAGTCCGTATCACCTACCAAAATCAGATGGTAACCATAAAACTTAACAGTGTAAGAATGAAACCGTGTTGCTGGATTCTAGCCACTTCTGCTTGTGGGAGACCCTAAAGCAGAGATTCTTAACATGTAACCACGTTACAAGTGGTTACTTGGTTACTCACAAGTAAGGACTGGCACGAGTTGGAGAGGTGTGAGGAAACGGATAGTCCAGAATGAAATTCCCCAGTGCTTATGCAACCGCTCGATCACGAGGAGTGGAGCACACTTTAAGTGGGAGGGATTCTCTCCTTACATGGTTCACTTTTCGTTCACTGCCATGTCTGTGTGTCACCTAAAGTTGTGTGTCTGCCATACTTTGGGCAACATGGATCTAATCCCGCCTCCCTGTCTGACTTTTGAGAAATGTGAACATCAAGAAAGGTAGGTGAGATGCTCAGATGGTATGTGATACAAGGGTTAGAGGGAAACTTCTGAACCAGGACAGTCGCATCCCAATTGGAAAACCAGTGCCTCTGTATGTATCTCAACTGTTTCATCGGGGCATATGACAGAATGATCAAACATTGATTTGAGAATCACTCTTTGTCCTCCAAAGGGCCATGTCAAATGGGCGAAATCTGCCCACGGGCTCATGAGTAAGGAAATCTCACCAACAGGAAGAAGGAATTTGAATGGCCTCTTTTCATGAAACCACAGTTAACTGTAAATGGAATAAATCATTAACAGCAGAGAACAGAGAACCTTGCTCTATCAAGTAAAAAAGAGTTTAAAAAAAAAAAAAAAAGTCCTCATGTGGATGTCCCTGAGGACACTGCCGTGACCCGAACAGCCCAGAATATATGGTGACACAGCTGACATTTTATGGATGTGCTTTTAAAGAAAGGCACACCCTCTCCTGCTTGTAAAAACCCGCATTTTCACTTCCAAATTAGTTAGCTGGGCATCGGGTTACAGTGCTCGCTCTCAGCTTTAAAAGAGGAAACACTGTTTGTATTTGTTTTATGAAGTCCAAATGAGCAGCAGGAAACTGGCTCTCTTTCTAGGGACGTGCTTCAATTTTTTAAGCTTTCGCTTCACTTACTCAAATTTATTTTTCAGGCATCTGAATTATCCCATTTGATCTGAATATGGCAATATAAATATTAAAATAGTACCTACTCTTTTCCCTGGAGATCCGGCTTGTGGGTGGGAGCCGTCGGTAGAAAGCTGGGGTCCACCCAGCTCTCTTAAGGGGTTATTTCTCCTTTCAATTTAAATTTATGTTTTTGTTTCGCATGCAGTCAGAGTTAGGTGGACAAGTCCATTCTAGAGGAGGACTGTTTTTAAAAACCAGATACTTAAAAATTAATTTCTAGTTTATAAACCTAAACCCCTCAAGCAGGATGATCTTTTAAAGAGGCATTCACGTATTTCCCTTTATGGGCCATCTGACTTCGGAGATAAGAAATGCCTGCTTACAGTGCCTACTGTCTAGGTCCAGAAAAAAAAAAACCAACGGCCTGCAAGCCATTCTTCCACGTGTATAAACGGTGACCCGGCAAGATGGCCTTTAAACGACAAAAACACAGACGTTCGAGAGCTGCAGATCTGGACATGTGACTTCTAAGGCAGCATAATGTGGAAAACTTGCACACTCGTTTAACATGAAACGATGCTGAAAATTCCAGAGAATCACAGGGTTTTTGCAGGGCTTGAACTGGCCCAGGGAACTGCAATCAGCTAAGGGACTCTGGCAACTAGCTCATTCTTCTTCACTGAAAACCTGGACTTGAGCTTTTAACTTTTAAGGCTCCCTGGTTACCCCAAACTAGCTAGCAGCACCAGGCAGAGAGGCAAGTCCAGTCCATAATGAGATCTGCCTTTCGAGAATTCTCTCCAGAAAGTGTCGGGCAGTTTCTCTTGGCCCTAATTAAGGAAGCTAAAGCCTAAAACGAATGCACCGGAGTTTTTCTTTGGAGAGCTCACGGATCACAGCATTCTGATTATGAAGAAGGTGACAGTTCACAGAAGCTCCCGCGCACAGTCTTCCTAAGGCCCCGCTAGCCCCTTACCTCATTGTCATGTGGCGGCAGCTGGTGTAATAGCTGCTTGATCCGAAGTTTCTCTCCAGGACTGTTGACATAAGGAACCTTCTCTTCTGGGAGACAGCTATAGTACTGGTGAACCTGAGGGATGGAGAGCACAGGGATCACTCGACATGCCCACTACTCAAACCACCTGCCCATTCCCACTCCCGGGGAGGGTCATTCCGGCAGCGGGGCACCATCTACTCTTCCACCCCCCCTTCTCTCCACCCTTCCGAGACTCAACGGCACATGCGTTTCTCACTGCAAGCAGACGGACTCATCCTTGAAGAGGCAGTGGGGCAAATCACCCCTCCTGGGGTTTTCCCTCTCTTGCAGGGGGGAAAACAAAGCCATCACGCTTTCTAGAAGAAGAGAATTCGGCAAATAGGCTGGTAGGGCTTTGTCGTCAGGCTCCCCGCCCCCCCCCCGAGAGAGAGAGAGAGAGAGAGAGAGAGCAACTTTACCATTTTCCCTGTGAGTCTCCGGCATGCTCCGTGCCTCCCTAGCCAAAGGGATGTGTCAGTGCCTGCCTCACACTGGAGCCAGAGCCAGACTCTGGCACTGGGTGAGCTGCTGGGTCCCTCAGCCTCCACCTACATGAAAAGCCCTCTAGGTTTTGAGCTCTTTGTAAGGGCAGGTAGCAGCTCACATCTGTCGGAAAACAGAGTCACTAAATCTGGGATACTGAGTATGTAATTAAAAATTGTCATTAACATGAGTATTTTTGCACATCCTAGAATGCTCCTCTTTAAAACTGTTAGGACATATCCTTGCACTTTTTGAGGCTCATTCATCTCTAACAAAGACTTGAGAAAGCATCTAGATTTGCCTGGGGAAAACAAAACAGACATTCTACTATCCAGCTGTATGCAAAGCTAGGGTAAGAAAAAATCGGCCAAAACGGAAGGTATGTTATTATATAGGAGAAGCCAAAAACAAAACAAAAAAAACCTCACAAGCTCAGATGACATCATGGAAAATTCTTTTCAACTATCTCTTAGCATCACAACCAGCTCTTGCAAAACAAGGTATTCATTCAACAAGACAGAGAAGACAGAAGACTTGTGGCTCTGAATTTATCATATTTGTTCCACTTCACAAACTTGGTCTAATTCCTTTGAGTTCAGGGAGCCCTGGACGTGAACATTTGTTTTGGGAATGCTGGGGCAAAGAGTTAAAAATCTCTGTCTACTTTGATCTCCAGAAACGAAACCATAACTGTTGAAGCGTGGGGGGGGGGGGGGGTGGAAATAAGGCTTTGCAGGGACAAGGTCTCACCAAAATGCGAAAGCCACCCTTATTTTCATAAAAAATGGTTGTAACCATTCACCATCATGTGTGGCTACCACAGTCTTCAGCAAACCTCAAAGTCAACCATATAGACTGCTCGTCACAGACTAGGTGGTTTCTCAAGACAGGGCCCTACAACGCCTCGCCAGAGGGACTTGGCGGGAAGCCACGTCCTGGATGAGAAGGAAGGGCTCTGGGTTTTGAAAGCAGCCCACAGGTTATCAACATTCTCTTGGAGAAGAAATGAAAGCTCAGATCACGAGTTAGTTTGGGATTAGAAGCTGGCCACGGGCCCATCAGAGACTGGCACGCCATTTTGCGCTCAGAGGAATCCCGGCACCATACACTATAGCAGGTAAGTGCAGGCAGAAAACAGAGCACTGTGTCTTGGGGAATGGGCCTTACGTCCCACGCCGAGAGACTGCTTGGAGCAAAGCCTTGCCTCAGTATCCCTCCGACATTTTCACAACTCCTACCCTAGTGACAGAACCTTAGGACAGATGCTAATAAGAAAGGAATCACTGCAGACGCTTGATAACAGTCCAATTTGAGCTTGATGGAGCCTCTCCTTTCTCAGATTCGCCTCTTCACTGCCCAGAGCACAGGTATCCCTGAGAGCCCCTGTGACTGCGACACCTTGAGCCAAGCCTTTGCTGATACTGTCCAGGGCTGACCCCGGTTGGGACCTTCTCTGCCTCTTCTGCAGCTTGGCCAGGTAGACCAGAACCCCCACGCATGGCTCTGTCACTTTTCATCTCCATGCTCCTGAGTGAGCTCCATAACCTCTAAGAATCCTCATCATAGGACCACGGCAATTAAATGAGGCGAAGGCTGGGTACCTGGCCCTCAAAACAATAAATAACATGAATGCACAGTGGTGAGTCTATTATCCAGCCCGTGTGCTCCAAAGGGAACAATCCGGATTTTCCTGGCCTCTCTTTTCCATTTTGAGAGATACAGCAACGCTGTCAGCTTGCAGAGCGAGACCACACCCCGAGGCCCCCACCCATCTTAGTCTAAGAAACAAGGCTACAAGGGAGAAAGAGGATATTTAAGCTGGTCTGATTTCAGAGGGAAAAAAAAAAGTGCAAATTACTGTAATGATGTGCTGTTGTCTCGAGAAACCCAGTGGTGTAGGAGGGCCTCATGAGGAAATGGAACCTGTACCTGGAAGGTGTCTGGTGAGGGATTCTCATCTCTCTATGCCCAGTGTCCTCTGATCTCTGCCCTAGTCTTCTTCCCTTCTGCCTGTTGGCTTCTCAAAGTTTAAGGTTTCCCATAGCACCCGAATTTACACAACCTCACTTCAGATCCATCCTAGAATGACTCACTTTGCTCAATTTCGAAATCGCCAGAGAAGGACCCTGCTTACCCCATCTTGTGCCAGGTCTACACCTGCAGACTGGAATGGAGAAGTTCCACCCTGTTTTTGTTTTTTTTTTTTAATTTTTTTTTCAACTTTTTTAAATTTATTTTTGGGACAGAGAGAGACAGAGCATGAACGGGGGAGGGGCAGAGAGAGAGGGAGACACAGAATCGGAAACAGGCTCCAGGCTCCGAGCCATCAGCCCAGAGCCTGACGCGGGGCTCAAACTCACAGACCGCGAGATCGTGACCTGGCTGAAGTCGGACGCTTAACCGACTGCGCCACCCAGGCGCCCCATTTCCACCCTGTTTTAAGACTGGAGATACAGGAGTCCCAACACGACAGGGCTGGGCAGAAGCAGAGGTGGCCATGACTGGAGAACTCCAGAGACAGTTAGCTAAATAAATACCTTGATGTGCTGACGTCCACCCTAAAGACTTAGAATTCCAAAGTCAACAGAGGCAGTGACTACTCTTAAGAACATAGCTCCATCTTCCCTGGCTGGGCATCTTGTGTTGTCGTTTAGGTTTCAAGCCCACTGATCACCATTGCTGAAAATGTATCCTTTCCACCAGCATTCAGTAACTCCATGAATACAGGATGCACGAACAATAGTTTCTCAGAAGGCAGTCAACCATTTGGTGGACGACTTAAAAACTTACCTCGTGAAATGCACCATTATTAAAACCAAGACAGCTAATGAGTTCATTGGTAAATTAACAACCTTCCAAAGCATCCCCGTGTCACACGGTAGGCACTCTGGCTTGCTCTGAGGAAGGGGAATGAGTTGGTCCTTCAACCCCTTCCAGTGGTCCTGCCGCTGCTTGGCTGGTGTGTCCCCTCCTGGTGTTCAAGGGCTGGCCTTTCCAAGCTCTTCCTCGAGCAAAGGGACGGGAATGATGGAGAAACTCCTCTCTTCAATTCCCACTCTGTCTCTGGCTGAACACAGAACTGCTGCATTGGAGATTCCCCTGGCATCCTCCAAAATAAAACTACCGTGTAGCCCAAAACAAACACTAAGCAAACCAACGGTAAGGGGGAAATATTTAGTATACTTTCTGGCAGTACAAAAATTAAATCTGGTACCACCCCTGAAAATACTGCAGGCTGCTCATTTTCATCCAACCATGTTTCCCTAGTTAATTTTCACGAGTAAATAATCAAGTCCAATAGAATTTTGCCAAGGATGACCATTTCCAAGCTATTACCTGGTATGGTGATAACGTTTTCCTCCTGTGTATCTGGAGCATCACTCTCCGAAAGCAGGACTATGGAATGTGCTAGAAACTTTGTTCCATTTACTCATCGCTCAGGTAGGGGTGCCCTGTGCTACTGCCCTGGGTTGAGGTGTATGAGGTACACTGCCCCCAAATAAAAGCATTTTGAACACAATCAGCTGGCCCGTGACAAAGAAATTGCTGAAGGCCTTTGTTTAAGGTGTCACTCCCAGCAGTGAGGTTTGGCAATAATTTCAGTGTCTGTCAAGATGGATTGTAAGAGCTTTAGTCAGTGTGCAAATAAAATCTACAAAGCAAGGCCTCACCCAGTTTGAAAGACTGGGTTTGTTAGAAGCAACTGCACATTTCACAGCATTTCTGCCTGGGCAGAGACGGAAGGCAGGGAGTCAAATGACTCCCCGTTGGAAAGAAAAGTGTGCTAATTAAAGAAAGACAAAGCGTGCAAAGTGCTTAATTTAGAGCAGTGGTTCTCAAATTTTAGCTGGCATCAGAACCACCTGGAAGGCTTATTAAAACACACATTTCTAATTCGGCAGGACTGGGGTGGGGCCCTATGGTTTCCATTTGTATGTAACCCTTCCTTATGGGATGCCCCTGCTGGTGGGCCTGGGAGAATATTTTGAGAGTTTTAGAGTCATGCAACTGTTCTCCCTCAACAGCCAACCCCATGAGGCTGCCAGGTAAATGTTAATATTCCTATGCTCTCCAGGACAACCAGGAGGCTCAGAAGATGGGAAGGAACTTGTTCTGTTCAGTATCACCTAATTTTGCAGGCGTCTCTTGCTATACCCACATACATATATGTTTAAGAAGGGGGATACCACCAGCTCTGGCAAGGATGAGAAATTCTAAGGGCAAAGCGCTCCTATTTTGGGGCAGGTCATTTTCCATATCAAAAGCATCCATTTTTTTTTTTTTAAGAATGGGAACCCAACAAAGAAGTGAGATATTCTTGGTTGATCTCAGATTCAACTGTTCTTTACCATCTCAATGAAGGAAAGGATCAGTGAATATATTTATGTATTTAGTGACTCTGATGGGCAAAGTGTTGTTGTATACAATATCTCATGCACCCTCCCCACACCCTGGAGGTTGGTACATTGTATTCACTAGACCGAGCATCACACAGCTAAAAAGTGGAAAAGTCATTTTTGGACTTGGCTTCCTCATCCTCTCCCTTTTTTTTTTTTTTTTTTTTTTGTGGA